ATCCGATTACCCAGTTTAAATGATTTTATTTTTATAAAATTTTGTATAAGTACTTAATGGAGCATAAGTAAATAATAAAAATTTCAAAATGATTGCACTGCTTTAAAGCACTTTGACCTTTAATAATGTGTGGATGCACCCTGATGTGCTACGCATTCTCCAACGCGCCTAGGCATGCTTCTGATCAGGTGGTCAATGTCCTCCTGTGGTATGAATGAGATCATTCCATGCAACCACCAACTCCTCTCGAAGTGCTTCTAGAGTCTGAGGAGGACGTTGCAAATTGAGCAATCTCCTACCCATCATATCCCACACGTGCTCAATTGGGGATAAGTCGGGAGATCTTGGTGGCCATGGTAACAATGTGACATCATCATGTTGAAAAAAGTCTATTGTGACTCTTGCAACATGTGGTCGGGCATTATCTTGTTGGAAAGTTGGATCTGCCAGGGTGTCAAGATAGGGTAAAAGATGGGGTTCTAAATCTACGGGGATATAACGCTGCGCGTTCATGTTACCGCTGATGAAGATTAAAGGTGACCTGGAACCATAAGCTATAGCACCCCAAACCATAACTCCAACAGTGTGATGAACATGTCTTTCAACAAAAAACTGTGGATTCCTCCTTTCACCACGTCGCCTTCTAACCCTGGCACGACCATCGTGCATGCCTAAACAAAATCGAGACTCGTCACTAAAGACAATACTGTTCCATTCCTGATCCCAGAGTGACCGTTGTCTGCACCACTCAAGGCGATTACGTCGGTGTTCTCGAGTTAAAGGGAGGACCCAGTGTGGCCGGTATGAAAACAAGCCAAAACTTCTCATTCGTCGGTAAACACTTCGCATGCCAATAGGTCTTCCGTGTTCTGCAAACCATTCATTTGCAATGGACCTGGTAGTGGAGAAACGGTCCCTTAAGACCAATAATCTTAGGCGGCGATCTTCACGGTCTGTTGTTCTACGGCGGCGTCCAGTGCCCCTTGCTCTTTGCGTACGGCCTTCTCGAAGCCATGCCTGACAACACCTAACCACAGTGTCTACACTTCTTTGCACTTTAACTGCAATTGCCCGAAAAGAAAGTCCAGCTTCCCGAAGTCCCACTATACGGCCCCTATCAAACTCCCTAAGTTGACGAAATGGTACAGGTCTCCGTACTCTAGGCATCGTAACCGATCGTAAAGGATGTCAAGAACCAAAATCCGCCAACGTTGATTCTTTACTGCGGCTGAAATATTCATTTTTAGAGCGTTAGTGAATTAAAAAAAAGCAGTATAAAAACCGGAATGTCCAACTGATAAGGCTGAAAATTTTTTCACTTGTTATTTACAGTAAGATAAATACATTCACCAACTTTTATTAAAATAAAACCATTTAAACAGGGTGTTCGGATTTATATGTCACTTAGTATATCTTATTCCTGCGTGACTTGTAATATAATAATCATTAGCAGCCATTTTGTTTGTCTAGTTTTTTCTGGTGTGCGGAGGCACTTTTCTAAATAATAGCGTTGTGAGGAATTATGAACCCGTTGCGTACACAAGAACAGATCTAGCGTTAAAATTGTTCACTTTTGTCGTTATGGGGTATTTTAAAATGTTATGAAATAATTATCTGCTATTACGTTTGACGTAAGCGTTACTCGTGAAAAAGACGATGGAAATATATTCGTAACTGTTGGTGGACTCTTGTAGCCTTCATCTATTTGCCATTGCCTGTCAAGGTGGTCCCCTTGTGTCAAAGGCCTCTAGTAGCTTTACTGTGGCCAAATGTGCAGCAACACTTGATATACTTTATGCTTAACCTAATAGCCTGAACGGTGTCTGATCCAGTTTTATACGTTTGTTAAGGGTTTGTTATAAGAATGATTATAATCTTAGATGTAGGAATATCTGTATCACAAACGCATAGTATTCTAGTCATTTTCATAGATAAATATATGAAAAATCTCTCATGTATCTAAGGTACTAAAGTACATTCAAATGAGGTTTATCAAAACATGAATAAAAATAAAAGCCTTCCGCAATTGGTTGCCAAAAGTGAAAAAGGCATTTACATGTTAAAATTACATGAACACTTCCAATGTTTTTTTTTGTCTTTTTACATTTTATATTTTTCTTTCACAATTGTTATAGACATTAAAATTATGTGGTATATACTACAATTTTATGGAATTTATAAGATTATTATAAATTTGCAATGGACCTGGTAGTGGAGAAACGGTCCCTCAAGGCCAATAATCTTAGGCGGCGATCTTCACGGTCTGTTGTTCTACGGCGGCGTCCAGTGCCCCTTGCTCTTTGCGTACGGCCTTCTCGACGCCATGCCTGACAACACCTAACCACAGTATCTACACTTCTTTGCACTCTAACTGCAATTGCCCGAAAAGAAAGTCCAGCTTCCCGAAGTCCCACTATACGGCCCCTATCAAACTCACAAACGGCCCGTTCACACATGCTCTCCGTTTTACTGGTCCGTTTTATCGGACACGTTTTTTTTTCGTCGGTGGCGTATATAGTTGTATGAGCGACTTCACACATGGTACAGTATACTGTATACAGTAAAAAATACTGTTCCGTTAAAATATGACATTCCGTTTTGTCATCGAATACTGGACGACGGAACCGTAAAAATATACGGATACCTAGAATTTTAATGGATAGATACTGTGTGCGTGGCGGGTGGTTTGTGCGGGGTGTAGGAGGGGGAGTGATACGACAGGTTTTGAGTCGCATTTTCTATTGTACATTCATAGAAAACGCGCGCGTGCATTGTGTGTAATAATTATTATAATCACTGATCAACCATGTCAACCAAGAAGTGGGAAAAGTTAATAGACAAGGAAATTTTAATTACTTTGCTGGAAGATAGGCCAGTCCTTTGGGACAAGACGCTGATACAAAGACAATACTGCAAGTATTGCAGGTTGGCGCGAAATATGCGTTATTCTAATGGAGGATTTTGGGGCTATGGAACAAAGACAAAGACAAGAGTTCGGTAAGTGTCTGTTTTATCATTTAATTACATTCTAAATAGCTTCACCCTGCCGTTGAACTGATCCAGCTTCGGACATGAAATAGTTCACGAATTCTGTTCGAACTAAATTGGCAGTATTACCACCTCGTGTTCTTACTGCATGGGGTAGGTTTTCGTAACTAAATTCTTGAGATACGTTATTATCACTGTTTGAGCCCTCTTTGTCCCTTATAAAGTTGTGTAGTAGTAATAGTACATGCCTTAAAAGTCCATACAGCTGTATATATTCTCCACTTATTAGCTAAGATGCCGAAGGCACATTCAACGTATCTCCTAGCTCTAGTCAAACGATAGTTGAATATTCGCTTATTTTTGTCCAGATGCCAAACGGCTTTAGTAAATTTTCGTGTAATCCGGAACCTTTGTCTCCAATGACCACATAAGGAACTCTCGTTTCTGAGTCTCTTGTTAATGGGCATGGTGCTGGTATTTGAAGACTGCCGTCTAGCATCATTTTCCAACATGATGTCTCCTTGAATATTGATGAGTCGCATTCCTTTCCATAAGATCCGACAATGACGTATACAAAGCGATGGTCGGAGTCTACGATCGCTAATAATATGAGGGAAAAAAACCTTGTAATTGATATACAGTGAACCGCTATTTAGTGGTTTTTAAGTCGGATATGTTTTCGTCGACAGCTCCGAGACAGTGGGGAAAATTAGCTTTTTTGTTAAATCCACTTAAGTCGCATAAATTTTTCACTTAAATTGTTCCATATGCATCTTGAAACTTCTTTAATAATGTTGCTAACAGTTGATACACCAACGCGATAGGTGTAATGAAGATCTTTAAATGAACACGCGGATGCTGCATACCTGAAAATAAAACTGATTGTTTTAATACTTGTTTTAGGAAGACTTGTTATGAAAAAGTGGAGACAGATGAGAGATGCCTGGGTGAGATCACTAAAAGATAAAAAGAATTGCAAGACGTCTGGTTCCGCTGTCTCAAACACGAAGCCTTACAAATACCATAATATCAGATGTTGTTTTTGAAAAAAGTAGTTGCTGCTGGTGAAACGCACGAAAGCGTCTCTGCTAAACAAACTGAAGAACACACCGAAGATGACGCCACGACATCGAATGAACCTACAAACGAAGATAACAGTGTGACTACAATGACACAACTTGACAATGACAGTCAAAAGGACAAACAAAATCTAGTCCCCCGCCAAAAGATATTTTAATGAAATGGATGCCAAAATGATGTCCTGCATTGACTATCAGATAAAACCGAAGAAAATTGAGTAGGATGATTGCAATTTATCGTTCTTCAAAGGTATTTTGCCGTCCTTGGCTTTGTTTGATGATGACCAAACTTTGGAATTCCAGTCAGGGGTGATAAACCTATTACAAAATATTAAACTTAGGAGAGTTGGCCAGTCAACTAATGACTGGTCAGCCTATACTCAAACATCTGGTGCTAGTCACTATCAATCTCAGGGCTATTTTAGCAGACCACAGCCTACTGACAGTGCACTATCGCCAGTACAATCTGTATACAGTGATGCTACGTTAGACCTTTCTGAGTTTTAAAAATAAAAGTACGTACCTTAAAAATATCGCTAGTTTTTCTTCTGGGCAGATACTTTTCCTCCAACGAGTATCTTGCTTTTTTAAATCCTGTTACAATAGTTTAAGAAGTTCATCAAAAGTAGACATTGGCATACGAAAGTAATTGGAAAATTTCGATTCATCACCTCGTAACTGACTCATAAGTCCCTCTCTAGATCTTTGGGCGATACATGGATGCTGCCAATAACGTCGAATCTGCCTTCTCCGACGATAGTACCAATACAACAGGACAGCGTCCATCCTTGTAGAATAGCGGCGGTATACTGCGAGTTTTCTGTTCACACATCGCATCCAGTAATGACGGATCCGTTGAACGTTACGGCCCGTTCACACATGGGAGTCCGTTTTACTGGTACGGTTTTAACGGATACGTTATAAATTTATGCTCTGTTCAGACATAGGCACCGTATAACGTTCAACGGATCCGTCATTACTGGATGCGATGTGTGAACAGAAAACTCGCAATATACCGCCGCTATTCTACAAGAATGGACGCTGTCGTGTTGTATTGGTACTATCGTCGAAGAAGGAAGATTCGACGTTATTGGCAGCATCCACTTATGGCCCAAAGATCTACAGAGGGTGCTTACAGTTTACTTATGAGTCAGTTACGAGGTGATGAATCGACATTTTTCAATTACTTTCGTATGTCAATGTCTACTTTTGATGAACTCCTTAAACTATTGGAAAAGGATTTAAAAAAGCAAGATACTCGTTGGAGGAAAAGTATCTGCCCAGAAGAAAAACTAGCGATATTTTTAATGTACGTACTTTTATTTTTAAAACTACGACAGATCTAACGTAGCATCACTGTATACAGATTGTACTGGCGATAGTGCACTATCAGTAGGCTGTGGTCTACTAAAATAGCCCTGAGATTGATAGTGACTAGCACCAGATGTTTGAGTTAAGTTGACTGGCCAACTCTCCTATGTTTAATATTTTGTAATAGGTTTATCATCCCTGACTGGAGTTCCAAAGTTTGGTCATCATCAAGCAAAGCCAAGGACGGCAAAATACCTTTGAAGAACGATAAATTGCGATCATTCTGCTCAATTTTCTCCGGTTTTATCTGATAGTCATTTTGGCATCCAAAAAATTTCTTTTGGCTGGTGCTCTGCGTTTTGGCGGGGGGGGGGGGCAGATTTGTTTGTCCTTTTGACTGTCATTGTCAAGTTGTGTCATTGTAGTCACACTGTCATCTTCGTTTGTAGGTTCATTCGATGTCGTGGTGTCATCTTCGGTGTGTTCTTCAGTTTGTTTAGCAGAGACGCTTTCGTGCGTTTCACCAGCAGCAACTACTTTTTTCAAAAACAGCATCTGATTATTTAGTATTTGTAGGGATTCGTGTTTGAGACAGCGAAACCAGACGTCTTGCAATTCTTTTTATCTTTTAGTGATCTCACCCAGGCATCTCTCATCTGTCTCCACTTTTTCATAACAAGTTTTCCTAAAACAAGTAATAAAATAATCAATTTTATTTTCAGGTATGCAGCATCCGGGTGTTCATTTAAAGATCTTCATTACACCTATCGCGTTGGTGTATCGACTGTTAGCAACATTATTAAAGAAGTTTCAAGATGCATATGGAACAATTTAAGTGAAAAATGTATGCGACTTCCTACATCAGTCGACGAATGGGAACAGATAGCAAGTGGATTTAACAAAAAAGCTAATTTTCCCCACTGTCTCGGAGCTGTCGACGGAAAACATATCCGACTTAAAAAACCACTAAATAGCGGTTCACTGTATATCAATTACAAGGATTTTTTTCCATCATATTATTAGCGATCGTAGACTCCGACTATCGCTCTGTATACGTCATTGTCGGATCTTATGGACAAGAATGCGATTCATCAATATTCAAGGAGACAACATTTTGGAAAATGATGCTAGACGGCAGTCTTCAAATACCTGCACCATGCCCATTAACAAGAGACTCAGAAACGAGAGTTCCTTATGTGGTCATTGGAGACAAAGGTTTCGGATTACACGAAAATTTACTAATGCCGTTTGGCGGGACGCATCTGGACAAAAATAAGCGAATATTCAACTATCGTTTGACTAGAGCTAGGAGATACGTTGAATGTGCCTTCGGTATCTTAGTTAACACGTTCACTGCCCATGCCGACACTGTGTCGGCGTGGGCCTTATCATAGCAGTGCCCGCGCCGACACGCTGTCGGCGACGAGGTAACTCTATTAAATGCTACGTAGCTGGGTGGGTACTGCAGTTGAGCTTTGTTTACGGAAGGGGCACGCTGTTAAGGTTATGAAAAGTATCTCTCATCTGTGGTCGGGTGTTTGCATGTTGTGTATGTAGTTTACTGGCTGTGTTGAAAGAAATGGCGGATAATCCTATTCCAGGGCCGTCTAGACCAAAACGGCCAACGATTAGGGATCCAAAGAGACTAACAGAGGATGAAATGTTGAGTTTGATGTTCTACTCTGACTCTGAGGAAGAACCTTACCAAGAATCAGACAGTGACTGGAGCGGAGCTGAAGATGCAGAGCGAGCCATTGCTGAAAATGATGATCAGCCTGGGCAAGTAGTTAGTGATTTGGAAGAGGGTGATCCGGAACAAATGGAGGAAGAAGTGCCGTTAGAAACAATTGTGAACTGGTTAGAAAATCCTCCTAACCTCAAAAAAATTCCATTTACTGGGCGCCAAGAACTGAAGGTTGGAATACCAGGTGAGGGCAAGCCCATTGACTTTTTCAAGCTCCTGGCAGACGACGAGTTTTTTGATTTGCTGATTAGCCAAACAAATGATTATGCTGAACTAGTATTCCTAAATGATCGAAACCCTGGACCACATTCACGAATAAGTCGCTGGAAACCGGTGGATAAGCAAGAAATTTCAAGATTTCTGGGGCTCTTATTCCTTATGGGGATTATTCAGGTACCAAGGCTTAGAGACTATTGGAGAACAGATCGTTTCTATAATTTAGCATTCCGAAATTATATGAGCAGAAATAGATTCTTAGTTGTTTTACGATGTTTGCATTTTGCCCACAATCCACAAGAAGGAGAGCCACGGCCTGCTGATAGATTACATAAAGTACGAACTTTAGTAGATTTCTTCAACCATAAGATGTTTGCCATTTATAGTCCACAAAAGAACTTGTCAATAGACGAATCTATGCTTTTGTGGCGCGGGCGACTTTTATTTCGCCAATATATCAAAAACAAAAAACACAAATACGGAGTGAAATTTTACTTACTTACTGAGAGCAATGGGACCATAATGAAACTACAAATATACACTGGAGCAGCTGACGATATGGGTGGAAAAGGACATGCTGCCAATGTTGTTCTTCACCTTGCAAGTGATTATTTGGATAAAGGTTATAGTATATACATGGACAATTATTATAACTCAGTACGCCTTGCTAGACAGCTGCTCAATAGGATGACGTATTGTACAGGAACTTTACGGGCTGGAAGGAAAGAGACCCCTGGTGACGTATCAAAAGCCAAATTGAAGGTTGGTGAATCAGTCCCACGATATGGCGGACATGTTTGCGTGGGGAAGTGGAAGGATAAAAGGGACGTTCTGTACATCACAACCGAACATGAAAATACTCTCCAAGAAGTGACTTCTACCTCTGGCAATACTAAAATGAAACCTGCACCTATAGCGGAATATAATAAGTACATGTCCGGTATTGATCTGCAAGATCAAATTATGGCATACTATCCATCACACCGGAAGACCATTAGATGGTATAAAAAAGTAGGCCTTCACATAATAGAAATGATGTTGTACAATTCCTTTATGTTGTACAATAAATTCTCCTCACCCAAATTGTCGTACTTGGATTATCGCCACTCCGTTATTGAGTCATTGTTGCCAGATCCAACTACTAGTACTACAGCGAAACCTACAAGTGATGACCTTCATCTTCCTAGTAAATGTGAGGTAGCTGAAAGCGGAAGAAAACTTCGCAAACGTTGTCGGTGGTGCTCACAACAAGGTATTAGGAAAGACTCACAATACTACTGTGCTAAGTGTCCGGAGACACCAGGACTGTGTCTCGAATTATGTTGTGAAAGTTTTCACAAAAATATTGCGAAATAATTAGTATTTTTGTTCGTCATCTCACTTCATATATTATAGAGTTTCGTTTCTGTTCATTATCTTATTTTCTCGAATATTGTAAGCATTTTTTTATTTTCTCTACAGTGTCTATGCTGTCATATATTGTTTTCTTTTCTAAAGATGCTATTATATTAATTATATGCAATGTTTGTTTTACTTTGCATGTGCAATAAATGCATATATCACAAAATGTGATTTTATTATTTCCCGCCGACAATGGTGCGTCACTGGGCACTGAGCAGTAAATGTTGCTGTTCAGTGCCCATGCCGCAACATATGCGGCGGTTTATTTTTTTGCATAAAAAACTGGAGTATGTGGTGAAAAACATTATTTTACCTAGTTTTTATAACACTTGACACTAATGATCTACAATTCTCCGACTGGTACTGGTGAGTCAGATACCCAAATGCTTGGGCAGTGAACGTGTTAATAAGTGGAGAATATTCCATCGGCCTCTAGACATCGATAAAACAACAGCTGTATGGACTGTTAAGGCATGCACTATTACTACTACACAACTTTATAAGGGACAAAGAGGGCTCAAACAGTGATATTAACGTATCTCAAGAATTTAGTTACGAAAACTTACCCCATGAAGTAAGAACACGAGGTGGTAATACTGCCAATTTAGTTCGAACAGAATTAGTGAACTATTTCATGTCCGAAGCTGGATCAGTTCCATGACAGGATGAAGCTATTTAGAATGTAATTAAATAATAAAACAGACACTTACCGAACTCTTGTCTTTGTTCCATAGCCTCAAAATCCTCCATTAGAATAGCGCATATTACGCGCCAACCTGCAATACTTGCAGAATTGTCTTTGTATTTATCCAGCGTCTTGTTCCAAAGGACTGGCCTATCTTCCACCAAAGTAATTAAAATTTCCTTGTCTATTATCTTTTCCCACCCCTTGGTTGACATGGTTGATCAGTGATTATAATAATTATTACACACAATGCACGCGCGCGTTCTCTATGAATGTACAATAGAAAATGCGACTCAAAACCTGTCGTATCACTCCCCCTACTACACCCCGCACACACCGCCCTCCACGCACACAGTATCTATCCGTTAAAATTCTACGTATCCGTATATTTTTACTGTTCCGTCGTCCAGTATTCGATGACAAAACGGAATGTCATATTTTAACGGAACAGTATTTTTTTACTGTATACAGTATACTGTACCATGTGTGAAGTCGCTCATACAACTATATACGCCACCGACGAAAAAAAACGTGTCCGATAAAACGGACCAGTAAAACGGAGAGCATGTGTGAACGGGCCGTTAGTTGACGAAATCGTACAGGTCTCCGTACTCTAGGCATCGTAACCGATCGTAAAGGATGTCAAGAACCAAAATCCGCCAACGTTGATTCTTTACTGCGGCTGAAATATTAATTTTTAGAGCGTTAAAGAATTAAAAAAAGCAGTATAAAAACCGGAATGTCCAACTGATAAGGCTGAACATTTTTTCACTTGTTATTTACAGTAAGATAAATACATTCACCAACTTTTACTAAAATAAAACCATTTAAACTGGGTGTTCGGATTTATATGTCACTTAGTATATATTCCACAGGTGGAATACATTAACTAATTATGAAGCTTCGTACGCTTAGGTAATTAGGTACATTTTGGTGTTGTGGGGTGTGGTTGGAAATTTAAGGAGTTGAATACAAATGTGACTTTCAAAAAGACTTAAATTATATACCTTCTAGATGAAACTGCAATGCGGTAACGGTCACGATTACTGGACAAACTGAGCTAGAAGATTACAAACAGGTGTGACACTCGGACGCTCTACTGAACATAAAAGTTTAGGATAATGTAGAAATAATCATTTATTCAACATTGTTGCTTGGAGATTTCCGACAATGGCAACAAAACGGAAACATTATTATGTACGTCGGAAGTATCGATTGACCTCTAGATACTACACGGATTAAATTGATGAGTTGATTTGAGATTTTCTGGGATAATGGTCAGATATGACCTCATTAGTTTCTGAAATGCGCATTGATCAATGAATAATTAATGTACTTGTATGCGAGGGCAAAACTTAAAGATCGATGTACGCTACTGTTATAAAGTATTTGTTTCACCTCTAACACGAGAAATTACCATTATTGACTACATCTACAATATGCTTTTTTACACAGAAGCAGCCGCGCAGGCAGAAGCCTAAATGTCAGGGTACCGCGACTATTATGATGAGCTTAAATAAACTTTGTTAATCCGATTTTTGAACCTCCTAAGACTAGAACTGGGAAAAGCCTCCTCATGTGGGATGTTCCACAATCTCGATACCCTAGGGACAAAGGAGCGGTCGTATCGGCCAGTTCTGGATGTATGAAGTTCGACACGGTTAGGATTCCCATCCGATGTGACAAGGGTCTGGCTGGCAGGCACATCGTGAGGCGGCATCATGAAGGAGAGCTCTGAAAAGCAAAGCGCATTGACGTAGCAGTAGAAGAGAGCTATATCGCCGACAGCCCGCCGGTGCGAAATGGTGCAGGGACTGTGCGTCGACCAGTAGCACAGCTCTCATTGAACAGCATCGAGCATGGATAATGTAGTTGACGGCGGCAGCACCCCAAGCATGTGAGCAACACTCAAGGTTAGGTATTATCTGGGCCTTGCATAAAGTGAGGAGGTCGTGTGGAGAAAAGTACTTCTTAACCCTAAACAAATAGCCTAGCTTTTTCCCAGCAGTTGCCGTTATTCACGAGATGTGTTCATGCCAGATCATGTCCTCGGTGATCTGAACTCCGACCAGCCGAAATGATCGGCTCGTTGGTAGAAGTCAGCCATCCATCGAAACCGGATGAGCGCTATGATGCTTTTTGTTGGTACTGTGTTTTGGAAGCATCGAACTGCATCCCCAAGATGTGGTAACCCCCACATCTCTCGTCAGAAAGAAAGTCGTTACCAATCTTCTTTTTTCCAACTCATCGGCAGAGACTGGCTTGTCACTTTGGATTCCTGCATGTAGAGTACTGTGAAATGGATTGACCGTACAGATAAATAGGAAACGATGTAAGAGGAACAGTGTCGGAGCCAAGACCGATCCCTGGCGAACACCCGTGTTGACCTTGTGGCATGAACAGGAGAATCCGTCAATTATGACGGATATCTAAGGGCCGGAGAGAAAGTCAGCCACCCATCTGCAAAACTTCTCTGGGAGGCATTAGGATGGATGTTTGCATAAGAGGGCAGCGTGCCAAAGATGATCGAATGCTTTCGTAATATCAAGAGCAAAGACATGAGCCTCACCATAAGTCTGGTTGAGCTTACTCCACAATTGCGTGGCGTAAGCTAGCAGGTCTCCAGTGGTTTATTGGCGCCGGAAACCATATTGCCTGTCGCTAATCAAGCTGTGACATCCGAGGTACTCCAGAAGCTCCCGATTTATGCACCTCTCCATCACCTTATTTATAACAGAAAGCAGAGCTATAGGCCTGTAGCTGTAAGGGTCGGTCTTAGATCCTTTTTTGGGATGGGTTGGACATGAGCAAATTCCCAGTTTTCTGGGAAGGTGCCGGATTCGTAACATATCTGAAAGAGACCCGAAAGAACTAGCACAAGCTCTGATGCAAACCTCTTCAAAACGACGGCAGAAATCAAGTCCGAAGGCAGTTACAATTATTCCATCCTGGCAAGTTAGTGGTGGAACGCTGCTATGTGAGAAGTTCCTTCCAATCTGATGGGTTAGCGTCCAGAAAGACCGACTGGCATTGTACTTTGATATAGTTCTACCTTGTGCCTAATTGGACGGCTTTTTGCAGAAAGGAACCAACCCAGAAAAATTATTATTGAGCAATTAGGCTTTAAAGTTTTGACAATGATAACAAATTAATTTCAGACCAAACACGATTTTATTTAATGGCATATTAAAGACATTAAATATGTGTATGGATCTTTTTTACAGTAAATGGTATTGTTCGTAATAGTTTATTTTCCTAAAATCTAGATTTTTCATATTTAGTGGGTTGGTCCCTTTCTGCAAAAAGCGGTCCAGTTGATAAAGGTTTGCCTTCGGCATTACTTATACCCTCAGAAAAAAGTTAGCTACGGACATAGATAACAGAGAAAATAAAAGATCAAGTCGGTCAAACAAGTCCATTCAATTAGACCATAGACATTGTTTCCCACTCGGTTGATAGTACCGTTCATCTGTGGCAACGTCGCTCCTATCGAATGACTCACCATGCGGGTCCATGCATCCACTCATCAGCTCGGCGCCGGCGGTACGACCACGGCAATGCTGGAACAAGACACTCATCGGTGAGACTGCCACGTCGGTAAACCCAGAGAGCAGGAACGTGAATCGAAGATATTTCTCTGTCATTTTCAAGTTTTAACGGCAGATGTACTGAGAAAATTTCTCATAGATTTAAATCTATTATGTATGAAATATGTCTAATAGGTGCATAAAATCTAAAAAATTTTAACCCTTACAAACAGTTTTCTGAAAATGATTAGGAGTCTCTGAAACGTCAAAAAGCTGGTTTTATATATTTTAATTTTTTTAGTATTCTGCCCTTAGCTCCGCTGATACTGGATCGATTTTCAAAAACTGCAAAGCTTTTTCGACCTTGGATTAGTAGTTGGGGGCATTACGTATCTTGAAAAGTGACATTATGTCGTTTTTTAACATTATTATAGCTGCACGTGTTGTCTATACGTCATGGCGCTTCATGTTTGATTCTGATCTGCTCCAGAGATGGCATTATTGGAGATCTAAGCTGAACGTTATATACAATAGCTGGAAGGAAGTGGCAGCCAGACCCTTGTCACTTCGGCCTCCCATCCTAACCGTGTCGAACTTCGTACATCCAGAACTGGCCGATACGGTCTGCTGAGAATACTCGTATTTTAAGGGCTAAAGAAAGTGTGGTGCGTAGAATTACCAATATTGAGAGCGTATAAATAAACTATCCTCAAAAATTTGGGATATACCCTCTCCACTTCCTATAATCTCCATCCCCAAATTTTTTACCTCTAAAATTTTTTCAGGATTAGGATCCTCTGAAATGTTACAAACCGATGGTTGAGCGACTTTTATTTTTCTCGTTTTTGGGCTTTTTCTCCGCCGCCACTGGATCGATTTTAGAAAAACAACAAAGCTTTTTCATCGTTAGCATAGTAGTAACATTGTGTAAAAATTTCATTCTAGTCCGAGCAGTACTTCTTAATTTATAGGCGGTTAGAGGATCAGCGGACAGACAGACACACCGACAGACAGACCGACAAACAGACATTCAGACAGACAGGAGGAAACGAGTGACATGGTTTTTCGTGATTTACATGTCGAATAACATCCAAAAAACATATCTCATTCTCGAAAATGTTTGCGATCAAGTACAATACTTCCCCAACAGTAGGCGTGGGAAGTAAAAAACAAAATAAAATTATTATAATTAATTGGAAACTGACCTTAAATTTTCCATATTTAGCACGAAATTTTGTACAATTTTGAGAATTTTACGACTTGCCACAGCAACTTTTTGAGTAATTAATTGCTGCAGTTCTATGTGGGACACCATGTATATAAGTTCGTATTTGAGATGACGAGAGTAGATTTTTTCAACTACTACGCGGAACGTCAGCACATTAGTAGACAACAACAACTTCTTTAATTTAATGGTACGGCAAGCCTAAAAATTGTAGAACTCCACCTTTAATGTAACTAAACGTTGCCAATGGTCTGTTACTTCTGAGGTATTGCGGACCGTTCCCTAATAGATTTATAAAAATATGACGCCACTTTATTGTAGCACATGACTACGTTTTTCATAATACTTGACTTTTAGAGGATATAAGTATATATAGTCAACGCCAAACAAAGTGGCGTGCACGTCATCACGATAAAAATTCCCCGACCTAATGCCTAGGTTTCTGTCACAAACAATTGCTCTATTGCAGTTTCATATTAATGTGATATATAAATTGTAAAATGGTCATTACTCTCTTATTATGGTTAATAGTCATATAAACATTGTTATTAAAATATCACATAAGTTGCTTTCTGATAAATTTAGACGCATTATGCGAAATAAAATGTTTTGCAAACGCTCCAATCACTTATCGACATGTAAACGCACTAAACCGATTTCGCAGCGTTGAGACATTGTCACCTTGAAACTTATTTAAACTGGGAACTGACATTTGTATTAATTTTGACACTGAATCAATTTGTGGCATTTCAAATCTTTATAAATCCTTTGGCCCTGCATACTGTAAATCAACAACTGTTTGTTTCAAAACAAAATTATTAAAGGCAATTTTGGTATATGAAGATGCCCAAACAGTTAAATAGTCGGTGTAAGGAACTCGTGGCCTCGTTAATGCACTACTTTGAGCAAGAAAGGGACAACAACGGGCCTTTGTTGCCTTTAAATGCTGTTCAAGAGGTAGGTTACTAATAATTATATGTAATGTATATTAATAATAGTGAAATTTCATTTCATTTTTTGTAGCGTGTTGCTGCTGCTTTAAAAATTAGTTTAAGGACAGTTAGTCGTATTTCCGAGGGTGTGAAAAGTGATGCAAATTTAGAATCGCCCAAGAAAAAGCGGAGTTATATTAAACGTGTAACCAACACAGCGACATTGGATACAAGTGCCATTCGAGAAGTGATCTATAATATGTATCACAAAAGTAAGATCTTATTATAATAACTTATCAGAAATTTGCATTAATTTGTTAACTAAATTATAATGTCATATTACACATGGTTTCAGAAGAACACGTTACCGATACAAACTTTATGGTCTCG